TCGTTGGTCAGACATAAAATATCTAAATCAGCAATTTATAATACAACAGTTTTACCCCTTCAGGAACCTCAAAGGTCGGGTCGATTCATTCTCGGAACATCTTTAGGTTATATGTTATTCCCGTGGGAAATTTGGAACGCCTTTAGGTTTTATGCTATTTTCTTTTAAAAAGGAAATTGATATCTGAGTTATTCAAGAGCTAATAATTAGCGCCTGGTATATTCCGACAGAAGCATACACTTAACATCCCAAGACAACAGAGGTCAAAATCTGGGACTGAAACCGAAATTGGTGACTAAAAATTACCATAAAGTATTGATAATCATTCAAGATTTAAAATGCATAAAATGTACATGTTTTATTAGAACACTATAGATTTTCATTTCCAATTTTTCATTGAAAAATAAAATAGGTTTCTATTTATTTATTTTTTTACTGTCAAAACTTGAGCCCTGAAAAGTACTTGGAATTTTCATTTTTGAAAAAATTGTCTTTTCCTATGTCTTTTTCCTGTTTCCACTAGAGTTAACAAGAGGCCCATGGGCCTTAACAGTCACCTTATATATTTATACAGAGAGTTGATTTTGTTTTTAACATGAACAGAAATATTATTCAAAGTGACAAAAAACAATAAAACCACCTTATTCAATATCTAGCATACAGATTTAAGACTAAAAAGTATTTGAAACTAGCACCTCTGATTCTAAACAAGGAAAATGAAGAAATTTTAGCACACTGACTCCATTGGGCCCCACCCTACAGCCCTTGGGGGTAGGGCTGGCTCAAAATTTTCAAAGTATCAAACTGTCAACTCAAGGTTATAAGTCCAATCAAGTTATTAACATGTAATATTTAAAGTATCATTTGCCATTATCAACCATAATAAATCCCCCCCCCCCTCCTTCCCCACGGGGTAAACCTGAGACCCTAGGGTCATAAACCTTAAGACCCCTCCATCTATGAAGAGTGGTTGATTCTACCATATCTGGGTCTTGAGAAGAAGATTTATGAAATTTCAGTTAATTTGACCCTTTTTGGCCCCACCCCTCAGGCCCGGGGGGTCAGTCAGGGCTGATATGTGCACACTATCAAACTGCTACCTAATACTGATAATGCTAACCCAAATTGAATTTCTTTCAATGGAAATTAAACAAATGTTGGTCCAAAATGTGATTTCCCTATATAAACCATAGTAAAGTTTACCCCCTCCCCAGGGGCAAACGTGGGACCCCAGGGTCATGAAATTCACAATTTTGGTAAAGCACCTTAAGACCCTTCCATCTATGAAGAGTATTTGATTCTACCATATCTAGGTCTTGAGAAGAAGATTTATGAAATTTCAGTCAATTTGACCCTTTTTGGCCCCACCCCTCAGGCCCGGGGGGTCAGTCAGGGATGCATACCTGCCAAGTGACCCGATTTCGTCGGGTTACACCCGGGATTTTAGCCTTTCACCCGCTTTTATAACTTCACCCAACGGGTTACGATTTTGACCCGGATTTCGTCAATTTCACCCGTTTTCACCCGGAATCTTTTCGTATATTAGAAGTTACCGAAGTCACTCGGAATTCTCTAGACTTTTCCATCCTTCTTCATAAGAAAGACTATCTATTTTCTGTTTTCGTTTCACACCAACAGGTAAGTTGCGAGTTGTTTATATACGTACTAGAACGTTTTTTCCAAATGTTTATACAAATACCGTTGTTACTGAACTTGCTGGCAACTCATTAGTCAGGTGTTTTAACAAATAATAGAGTTGTTTTTACAATTGTATTTACGTAGAATAGATCGTATTTTGAAGGTAACATTATGTCTTCTTGAAGAAAGAAGTTGTTATCGGGACTTGCATATACATCTCTGACTATAGTATACACGAAATGCTAAAAGAAAAGATAATTGTTCACATATCAAATATCGTAGGAAAATGAGTTTTAGTGTATAAAGTCCTGCGGTCGTGGACCAAACGCTGCATTCTGCACTCTAGTCTTTGTAAATCGCATATTTCAGTTTGATCTGGTGCTTAAAACGACGTTACTAAGACATTCAAAAACACGCACAGGCATTTGATGATTTGTATTTATCAATCAAAATTATCCTAACAATAAGAGTTCAAACCCTCCTCGTATAAAACTGATATTTTATATGAATGTGACATGTTATTGTCAGGACCATTTTAATTGACATAAAAAATGCCTGTATCATATATATTATTATGAATTAATTTCATAAGTTGTGTTGTTGACAAACCTTTTTATTTTTCAGCTTTGAATTTGGTATTGTGGATGAGGATTAGCTAGATCTGCTGGAAGAACAGTTCAATGAATGTAGAATGTAACTTAACATCATTAAAATATTTAAGTTCTAATTTAATATCTCTTTTTCTTATATTTGTTGCGAAAAAAGCCGTCGCGCACTATGACCCTCTTTTTTATTTCCAAAAGAGGGTCATCACCCTCTTTTAGTATGTCCGGGGTTGGCAGGTATGGGGATGATATGTGATACTATCAAACTGCTACCTAATACTGATAATGCTAACCCAAATTGAATTACTTCCAATGGAAATTAAACAAATGTTGGTCCAAAATGTGATTTCCCTATATAAACTATAGTAAAGTTTACCCCCTCCCCAGGGGGAAACGTGAGACCACAGAGTCAAGAAATTCACAATTTTGGTAAAGCACCTTAAGACCCTTCCATCTATGAAGAGTATTAGATTCTACCATATCTGGGTCTTGAGAAGAAGATTTTTGAAATTTTAGTCAATTTGACCCTTTTTGGCCCCGCCCCTCAGGCCCCTCAGGGGGCTTTGGACTAAACCGGCCACTGTTTTTGTTGACCTTTGTTCATGGAAGGTTCCTGCAAAATTTCATTGAAATTGGTTCGTCGAAAATGTAAATTGTTTACGGACGCACGACGGACGACGACGGACAAAAGGCGATCGCAATAGGTCACTTGAGACTCTTAAAATGTACCTACATATAACTTGTCCAGATCTCTACAGATTCTAACAGAACACTGCTTCAAGTTCAATTTAACTCAAAATGTTATTTGCGCATGTGTAAAACTACAAAGTTTGAAAGCAAAACAGTGAAACACAGTGAAATACATACATAGACATGTACATGTAGAAAAGTCGCAAGGTGATAGCTTATGTTTCTAATATACATTAACATGAACAAAAATAAGCATAGCTTCAAATAGAAAATTTGATTTAAATACTGCTAGCTGCAAAAGTCCATACCCTATACTGTCAGCAAGCCCAATCTCCAATAGTCAAGACAATAGTGATTATGATACTTTGACAGGAAAAATGTTATCATTAAAATAATAAGAGATTTGAAATGATTTAAGGCAGTGTATTAGCGTGTACAGATGTCGACACATTGATCAAACTTAAGGCTTGGGAGTTTTTAATCACAATTTCTTACTCCCACGCTATAATAACCACACGTCTACAGCAATCTCTGTCAATAACGACACGTAACAAACTGTTACAACAAATTATAATTTGATTTGTATTATGATTATCGGTCCACTGTGACGCAGTCAAGCTCTGGTCAGGGGGTACAGTAGATAGAACACTGAAGGCCTTTCATAAAGACAGCATAGATATCAACCTCTGAAATCTCCTATCAGGGAGGCTTCCTCATTCCATTTCTCAAATGAGGAGTTAAGTATGTGAAAAACCCTTTGGGGCGTTTCGTCCAGGAGGGCAGTTTTCAATGTACAAATTTCACATTGATTAGCATATAGCTAAAATGACTGGATACCGTGAAATTTGAAGAAAAAACAACCTATCTGACATAATCCTAAAAACTTTCAAACATGGTTGCATCCTCACCCTGATCGAATATGTAAATGTAGTACTTAAGCACAGAAGGTAGGTCTATGTAATCTGTACAAAGTTGTCAATGTATTTAAAGAAGATATAAAAAAAATACAATTTCTTATATCTTAGTACTGATGCTATACAAATTATAACTGAAACAATCCTGGAGATATCATGAGAAAAAAACATGAAAAAAATACAAAAATGTTGCTAGGCCTATTATTCATTCTTCATAATATTTTAAAAGGTTAGGATGGCATTTCAAAAAGTAAACTGATTTATAGGTGTCTTTTTGAGTTTGTGTTTCATTAGAAGTATATCTTTGACAGACAGTGAAGTGGCAGAGGCACTGCCCAAACTCTTCCTAGCAATATTTCACACCTTCACCTTACTGCTTGGGAGACTATTTAGTCATTTGCCTATTTTAATACAATAGTGACCGTTTGCAGGCACTTGCCTCACACAAGCATTTTTCAGATCAGAGTGAAACTTGATTGTTAACTTTAAATACAAATTATACAGTATCAATGTTTGTTTGATGTTTGCAGCTCGATCCTTGTAAATTGGATGTAAAATGCAATAACTTTGATTGATTGTTTGATTGTTAACTGAACACGAACATTTTCACAGCTTACTGGCATCAGTTGCAATCACAAGGGGTCAATTTTTGGCTGTGCTTCAATATCTTGATTTTTAATTACAAAGGGTTGTATGAAGGTAACTGTCGAAATCCGGGGTTAATTTGACCCTAGTGCGGGAGATGTGCCAAAGCGGTATTATGGCTAATTTTACAAATTTTCCATCACTATACCACGCACAATCTTGGGTGATCAACACCTACGAGACAGCTGGGGTTAGATTCCATGATTAGATATAAAAAGGTACCAGGTCACCTACCCGACCACAAGCTAGGGTGTACTCCATCCAGGTACTCTGGTTTCCATCCCCTGTACACTGCCATTCCAGCTAACAAGAGTCAACATTATGTTGTTTTTTTTTTAATTAATGAAGTTTTTATCTAAAAGCTCAGTCCAGAGACAACTATGGCAGCCTCTATGTTTATAAATGTATATAGAAATATCTTGTTTTCCTACAACCCAACTTTGAATAGATTAATTTGAAAATTGTTTCAGTACATATTTTACAAAGAACTTTAAAACTTTTAACTCACATATCCATCTTCCTCTTCATTCCACTTTTGGTAGTAGAACTTTGCTAGTTCATATATGTTTTGGTGAAATGTCTGCGTGCAATATACCTACAAAAGACAACCAAAGGCAAATAACTATCTAACCATGCTACAGAGTAATGCCTGTTTGATACTGTGGTTAAACAGTATCGATTTCTATCATTCTTTGGCGTACGGTCGTCACAGTGTCGTGTGCCAAACCAGATTAACTGCTTAATAAAAGGTCACAAGCATTTTTTCTCGCTCTGCATCATACATTCCTTTTTGTTTTTTGATTTAGCACAATTTTGTTACCTATCTGCCCCACTTTTTTTTAATTCGTTACAAAATTAGTTTGTCATATCTCAAAAACTGCTTAACGAACAAATATATAATAAAGAGGGGAAAATTCAGACAATTTTCATTCGTGGAAAGTTGTTTCAATAGGCTAAATCAGAATTTATTAACATTCCATGAAAAAAAAGTAAAAATGCATATCGCCTGCAACAAAAATCGAGTTTTGTAGCAATTAACACAATATCGTCGAAATGAGGGAAAAAAATCATTATTTGCGTAGACTATACTTAACTTGTGTTTTGCTCTTTTATTTCACAATCTTTCTATATTTTATTTTAGGCGAAATGCGTATTTCAAGAAAATTCGTTGAAATCGACAACATATGCATTACACAATAAAGGTAATCTGTTTGGAGCGCGCATTTCCTCCTGTAGCAAAACCGCTAAAATGTAAATTGTATCCATCAAAATATGTGCAGCTATTATCTGATCATATATGTTTTTTACCTGCTCGGAAACTGCACGAAATAAACAGAATCCGTCTCTAGCAACAGGTTTTCGCCACAGGCCTAAAACCGCGAGGAAGCTGTCCATTGCTGCTTCCGGCTTTACCTGCTGCGTCTTCATTTCTCTTGATCTAAAATGGATCATTGGTTCTTGTATTATTAACTGTCCGTAACGGTACTATATGTATATAAGTGATAATACGGGCATAATACGAGCAAAATACCGTCGGTTACCTGTCAGCATGCGAGTTTCCGCAATTGCACGTGCAGCGACAAAAATCACGTGCTTTGGCCGAAGGCCGAGGGCAGTATTAAAAGCGATCTGTTTTAATATGCCCTTTATTTTAATCATTCAGACTGAAATGTAAAATTCATTTCATTTATTAAAACGTTAATTTCAATTTTCAACTTTTTCTTTGGACAAGAAATGATTTGTGTACATTACGGGTGCATTTGTTGAATGACGTCAGACCTAAAATGACCCAGAAATCGTAACAATTTGCATAAAATGGCATTTAAATCTATGTAGAAATATGTTTTCGTTCTGCCGGGCCAGTATGGAGTTAGGGGTTGGAGATTGGTGAGGGGGCGCTGTCCCATATAGTATATCAATAAACCTTTTTTAAAGTAATATACATTAATACGTTAAAAGTTTAGTCATCAATATTTCGTTCATGGGGAGCCTCGCTATGCCAGCCATAGCCAGAGTTTCCTCTGGCCCTTTCACCAGACTTAGACTTTTTGACATACATATAGATGTCTGGGGCGGGGTATATATTTTACTGTAAACTCTTACTATTTAGTTGTTGTTGTTATGTCTGTATTGTACATCAATGTGTAATGATTGTATCATGTGCATTTTAAATTATTAACCTAAAATTTGATAAACAGACAATTAAGTGTTTATTTTTTTATTTTACCAATTTCATACCCCCCAAAATTTATTAAAACATATAATATATATATCCAAAAAGTACCTTACGTATCAATAGAAGTAATATTCAATTTATTTCCGTAAGTTTTACAACTTATAGGATTTTCAACAAATAATTTCATATAAGTACAACATATAATTACATATTACTGGCACATTCATCACAAATCAGCAGCAACAACAACATCATCGAAATCATAATTCATCGCTTTCATCATCATCATCATCATCATCATTATCATCATCATCAATATCATCATCATCATCATCATCATCATCATCATCATCATCATCATTATCATCGTCATCAATCATCATCATCAACATCGTCGTCGTCGTCGTCTTATAACTCATCATCAGGAAATAATCATCTCTTTAAATCAACATCAAATACTACATCATCATCCTCATCATCATCATCATCAAAATATCAACATCATCATCAACAACAACAAAAAACATTGAGCATTTACCATCTTGGACATGAAAGATTTTTCGAACAAAACATGGACATGATACGATTGAGTAACACAAAATTAGGTAAAACAAACTTATAAGTTAAACAAATTCAGTTCTTTTACATTGTGTGTATTTACTAATTCGATAAGTTTGAGTACAGATGGTTTTTGCCAGTAATAATTTTAAATATATTTTCTCCTTAAATCTAGATGACGTGGGCAGGTAAATAGAAAATGATATTCACCTTATATCTCTATTAGGTCACAGTTACTGCAATATCTATTATTCCTTGCAACATTCCTGTATCTTCCCGTTTCTATTGCAAGATTGAGAGCTGACATACGTAATTTGGTAATCATAATTCGACGTTGCTTTGGTATAAACTTTGTTAAATAATATTGCAACATCACGGTATCTACCATATATCTATAGAGATCACATTTACTTGAAATGACCAACGAGTTGAATAAAGTTTGTCACAAACACAGAAAAGCTACTAGTCAGACAGGTAACTTTCACACAGGTAAGTTACCTGTTTGGTAAGTATGAAACAGACTATAATTGGTTTGCCATTGTCTTCCTATATCAACACTTTTCTTTGTTCTCTAAAAAGTGGGGGAACTGAGAACACCTCCTCTGACCAGACTTAGACTTTTTGACATATATTGATGTCTGGGGCGGGGGCTCCACACCAGACATCTTTCGGTCAAAAAGTCCAAGTCTGGTGTTAGGGCCAGAGGAAATTCGGGCTTTGCCAGCCAGGTTTTTTTTCTTCTGATGATTCAATGTGTTTTTTTAAATCGACTTTCCTCGGAAGTGGTGTTATGTAATATCATTATGATTTACCTAAATTGTGGGTCTGTAAATTGTTAACAGTGTTGTCTTAGGCACAGGGACCTAAGAATTTTTAAGTCTCGTATTATATGTATATTTCATTATTGGGGTGGATTTTTTTACCGAATATTGATCTTAACCCCTAAAAAATGTAAAGTTACTCTGAACAACTTAGCTAAGTTCAAATATAGCTGTAACAAATGTTCAGGTCCCTGTGGTCTTAGGAGGCGAAGACTTATAGAAAAAGGAGGGAGGAATGTAGCGGAACTAGAGTTCGGAGGTCCGGGTTCGAATCCCGGTCTGGCCGCGCCTTTTTTCTCTTTGAAAAAACATCACTTACAAATTGACACCCCCCTCCCCCTTCCTCTTTTCTGGCACTCGTATATAAACATCACTTACAAACTGCTCCCCCCCCCCCCCCCCCCCCCCCCCCCCCNGACCATGACAAAAGCAATTCATGTTATGTGAGCGACTATTAAACATAACGAAAAATAATACATACCCATGCTTATCTTCTGAAATGGAACTCTCGGGAGACATTCTCTGATAACCTATGTCTGGATTCCGCCGTGGGAAGTTTACGATAGAGAATGCTTTCATTCATAAATCTGTTACGTGAGTAAACTGTAAAACAATGTAACTATTTTCTCGTCCTTTTACGCGCGATTCTTCCCGGCTGATTTTACAGATGTAAAGGGCTGCACAGACAAGTATTGGTATTTCCAGTCACGTTCATTACGTAAAGTTTGATGTTTTCCAACATTGCATTTAATAAATACAAACAGTTGACCATTAAGACAGACTACCGAAGGCTAACAAAAACGCGGTTCGAACTCAGCATTATGAAACAAGAACAGTTCTATATGAAAACCTTGGATAATGCATAAAGAGAATGAGACCAGGTAGGTGGAGCACAATAGGAAGTAAGGACAGGTGATAAGTGGATAGTGGAATAACCAGATGTATACTGCACAAACGGTGGAATATCCAGCTTGATAGATGCTGGACAATCGGAAAAGTGGTGACATGATAGGTGAATAAATAGAATTGGCGGTGACTGATTCGTTGGAATACCACATTATCGCTGCTAGATAATGAAGAAACTGGATCGGTACTATCTTTTTAGAGGGACAACCGGATAAGTGATAGCTAGCGTGACGGGCCGCATAAATAGTGACTTGATAGTGAACACCTATGTCAGTGGTGACTTGATAGTGAATACCTAAGTTAGTGGTGACTTTATAAAGAATTCCTAAGTTAGTGGTGGCTTGATAGTGAACACCTATGTCAGTGGTGGCTTGATAGTGGACACCTAATTAAGTTAGTGCTTGCTTGATAGTGAACACCTAAGTTAGTGGTGACTTGATAGTCGACACCTAAGTTAGTGGTGGCTTGATAGTCGACACCTAAGTTAGTGGTGGCTTGATAGTCGACACCTAAGTTAGTGGTGACTTGATAGTGAATACCTAAGTTAGTGGTGACTTGATAGTGGACACCTAAGTTAGTGGTTGCTTGATAGGGGGCACCTAAGTTAGTGGGGGCTTGATAGGGGACACCTAAGTTAGAGGTGACTTGATAGTGAACACCTAAGGTAGTGGGGGCTTGATAGTCGACACCTAAGTTAGTGGTGACTTGACAGTGAATACCTAAGTTAGTGGTGACTTGATAGTGAATACCTAAGTTAGTGGGGGCTTGATAGTGAACACCTAAGTTAGTGCTGGCTTGATAGTCGACACCTAAGTTAGGGGTGGCTTGATAGTGGACACCTAAGATAGTGGTGACTTGATAGTGAACACCTAAGTTAGTGGAGGCTTGATAGTGAACACCTAGGTTAGTGGTGGCTTAATAGTCGACACCTAAGTTAGTGGTGACTTGATAGTTGACACCTAAGTTAGTGGGGGCTTGATAGGGGACACCTAAGTTAGAGGTGGCTTGATAGTGAACACCTAAGTTAGTGGTGGCTTGGTAGTGGACACCTATGTCAGTGGTGGCTTGATAGTGGACACCCAAGTTAGAGGTGACTTGATAGTGAACACCTAAGTTAGTGCTGGCTTGATAGTGAACACCTATGTCAGTGGTGGCTTGATAGGGGACACCTAAGTTAGTGGTGGCTTGATAGTGAACACCTAGGTTAGTGGTGGCTTAATAGTGGACACCTAAGTTAGTGGTGGCTTGATAGTCGACACCTAAGTTAGTGGTGGCTTGATAGTCGACACCTTAGTTAGTGGTGACTTGATAGTGGACACCAAAGTTAGTGCTGGCTTGATAGTGGACACCTAAGTTAGTGCTGGCTTGGTAGGGGGCACCTAAGTTAGTGGGGGCTTGATAGTGAACACCTATGTCAGTGGTGGCTTGGTAGTGGGCACCTAAGTTAGTGGTGGCTTGAAAGTGGACACCTAATTAAGTTAGTGCTGGCTTGATTGTGAACACCTAAGTTTGTGGTGGCTTGATTGGGAGCACCTAAGTTAGTGGTGGCTTGATTGTGAACATCTAAGTTAGTGGTGGCTTGATAGCCGACACCTAAGGTAGTGCTGGCTTGGTAGTGGGCACCTAAGTTAGTGGTGGCTTGATTGTGAACACCTAAGTTAGTGCTGGCTTGATTGTGAACACCTAAGTTAGTGCTGGCTTGGTAGTGGACACCTAAGTTAGTGCTGACTTTATAGGGAATACCTAAGTTAGTGGTGACTTGATCATGGACACCTAAGTTAGTGGTGGCTTGAAAGTGGACACCCAAGTTAGGGCTGACTTTATAGTGAATACCTAAGTTAGTGGTGACTTGATATTGGACACCTAAGTTAGTGGTGACTTTATAGTGAACACCTAAGTTAGTGGGGGCTTGTTAGTCGACACCTAAGTTAGTGCTGGCTTGATTGTGAACACCTAAGTTAGTGCTGGCTTGGTAGTGGACACCTAAGTTAGTGGTGGCTTGCTTGATAGTGAACACCTATGTCAGTGGTGGCTTCATAGTGGACACCTAAGTTAGTGCTGGCTTGGTAGTGGACACCTAAGTTAGTGGTGACTTTATAGTGAACACCTAAGTTAGTGGGGGCTTGTTAGTCGACACCTAAGTTAGTGCTGGCTTTGTAGTGAACACCTATGTCAGTGGTGGCTTGGTAGTGGGCACCTAAGTTAGTGGTGGCTTGAAAGTGGACACCTAATTAAGTTAGTGCTGGCTTGATTGTGAACACCTAAGTTTGTGGTGGCTTGATAGTGGACACCTCAGTTAGTGGTGGCTTGATAGTGAGCACCTATGTCAGTGGTGGCTTGATAGTGGACAACTAAGTTAGTGGTGGCTTGATAGGGGACACCTAAGTTAGTGGTGGCTTTATAGGGGACACCTAAGTTAGTGGTGGCTTTATAGTGGACACCTAAGTTAGTGGTGGCTTGATAGTGGACACCTAAGTTAGTGCTGACTTTATAGTGAATACCTAAGTTAGTGGTGACTTTAAAGTGAACACCTAGAATTGGCGGTGACTGATTCGTTGGAATACCACATTATCGCTGCTAGATAATGAAGAAACTGGATCGGTACTATCTGTTTAGAGGGACAACCGGATAAGTGATAGCTAGCGTGACGGGCCGCATAAATAGTGAATTGATAGTGGACACCTAAGTTAGAGGTGGCTTGATAGCAACATAAATCAAACGGCTAACAGAAGTACACTAACACCGGGGAACTCGGTATGAGTATAGAAACACGAATGTATATGATGATCCGTGAAGTTTTAAATGCAATATTTACGTTAGTTTAATCAAAAGGAATTGGACACAAGTTATACAACTTAGAAAACGTCCTCCTCCTTATAAACAATATACAGTGGTTTTATATTGACAGCAGATACGTAGTGGTAATATCATATTTACATATTTCAAATAAAATCAAAAATATTAATTTGATCGATCAAGTGATGTAAATCAATAAGATATATTTTGTTACAGTATCCAAAAGCTGAATAATTTAAAGACAAAGAAGTGGATATTCAAAAGTGGTTTTTTTTTGCCACTACACCATATGGTACAAAATAAATACATACATTTTGACTGAGCTAATATACGTGTACAATGTTGATCAAAAAATGTGTAATGAAATATGTATTGTTGTAAATATTATAACAATATAGTGTTAAAATTAGTAATATTTACGTTGTTAAGCATAGTATATCGCTAAAATTACTACGTTTGTTAATTGATTGATTATAACATCATACAGATTAACGTACACGCGCAATGTAACGCTGCAACAGAGACGTATTATACGTCTCTGGCTGTATGAATCAGGTGCCTGCAAACAATGTAACAAATATGAAACAAAAATCTGACGACATACATTGTTGTATAATTTAGATACATGAAATTCCAGACATCAAACACATCGTGTAAACTTTGTTTTATAATTTATAACACAAATGTATAAATTGTAATACAATTTAACGTATGTAGGTCTTAGCAACTTATTTCGCCCTTTTAGTTGTAAAGGGAGGTAATTATGATAAGTCGTTATCGTTTGTGCGAACGGCGTGAACTAAAATTGAAAATATATATATCCCTGTCAGGAAGGTGCTTTGCTCTTCCTCGGTGAGATATAACTAATTCAAGAGAATCTACGACATCGATTTGATTAAAAACAAAATGGCAGGTGCGAGATGTTAATGGTAAATATTCACAAATCTTGTTAAATATAACGCCATTCCATTGCAGTAATGATCTTATAAGAACACCATGTATAATAATGATACATGATATTGTTTGAACACTGAAAAAATACGTCCTATGGACCTTTACTGAGTGATGTATTGAGTTATTCGGTTTGTTTACATCCTAGTCTACTCGGACTGAAGTTTGACTTTTCTCGTAGAATGTTCGCCCGAGTTTCCCCTGTACCTGACACCAGACTTTTAGACATCCATCAGTCAAAATGTCTAAAAGTCTGGTGTCAGGGCCAGAGAAAACTCGGGCTAGTAGAATGTCTTTATAGGCAGCGAATCTTGTTGACTGTCAGTTACGAAATTATGTCGGTATATTGATGCACACCAAGTAGTTCTCTGAGATAGCTAAAGGAAACACTCTCTCCCGTTTCACAACTCTTCGACTTGATTATAACACGCTTGTGCAAAATCCTCTTTTCTAAAGCAAAGTCGCAAAAAGTAGGTCTTTATGGTTAAGTTGACTACAAACAGTAAACACTTAAAGATGTATTTTCTTTTTTCATAAGTTTAATTCCAGTTTTTTTTTACATCAACATTTTTGAAAGGAACACTTACATTTAATGTCTTTTGTAAAAAAAAAAAAAAATCTTCTTTTAAACTTGACTTTGCCATTTTCCTATCATTAAAAAGAAATGTGAAAATAGCTCAAAGACCTTTGTCAGATTGGTTGATACAGCTATTATTGGTCTTTTTTATATTCCAATCGGCAGTGTTTACTGCCCTGCTAAAAGGTGTGCTGCACCAGCGAAATGCTACCAATATCTTAAGTCTTGGACCTTCTGTACACTCTATTAGGGAAGAAGAAATTGGTGTGAAACTGTGTCATAGGCTTTGGATGAGTCCAGAAAAAATATGACTGTCTGCTTCTTATCGTCGATGCTTTCTTATAACAGTACCTTGACAAACCAATGGATAAACGCTAAAATTTTGACATCTCAGTTTAGTTATCACATTGTTTTCTTGCTGCATATATGATCTTATATATTTTGCAGATGAATGACCCAAGAATGAATCTTTCACAATATACCATAACCTGACCATGGAAAAGCTTGAAAGGGATGTTGAATATGCTGAGGTAAACATTAGACTCTGTAATTATGAATATACATGATATGTGTACAAGAAACTTTGATAGCATCAGCTTTTCAATTATGACAGTTATTTCTGCTGCATAAACAAGGATGAATTATAACCATAACATAATAAAATTGACAATATGCAGCATATAGATATGAATATCACATAAGCTGTTAATCAGAGGCCAGGTTTGCATAGAAATATCTCTAAAATGGAACACTGACTTCTTTAAAATAATAAGATGTACAGTTACATTGAAATTGTTCTGATAAAGGCTAATAATCTCTGGTGATTTAATAGATACTTATAATTATAAAAGCAGTGGTGGTGCTAACTTCTTGAAAGTGGGGTCCCAATCGGGTTAATTTGGTTTCTCAAAAGAACATGTGAAAATGTATGTGCTTTGCAAGTTTTTGTTCATTTTGATACAAAAATGGGGTTTACATGACTATTGTAAAATGTAGAAATCTTAACCAGACAGATGTCATGTAAGATTTGAGCATCAATATCAAATGTTAGGGAAAATGGATTTATTTTAATTTTATGTTATATGTGTATCTAATCTGTTACTGCTTTTACATGTTATTATATTACTGACCAGTTTCAATCCATCTGATGAAATTTGTAATTTTGTTTTCAGTACTTGATTGAAACAGCAAAACAGAGGCCCTCTCAGCTTTTAAGCAAGCCAATCTCCGGCAATCCGAAAGGGTATGTGTGTGGCTATAATACCCTTGTTATGTGGATGTGACCTAATCTTTCTTTGCAATTTCACTTTGACATCAGATATATTTTGGTAAATTATTATTGGAAATTTATGTTGAATAAAATACATATGCTAAACACATGTACTATTATGTTCTTGAAGTAGGAATGGGGTCATTGTTAGCTAGGATAAATTCACTCAGTAACTTCTTTTTTGTTAAGTTTTGTATTTATTAATTCTTAACAAACATGAGAGACTTTTATATATGATGTTAAACTTTCAGAAAAAGTTTCTGAATTTGTACCAATCTAACAAATTTTCAAAAACGTAGTCTCAGATTTACTTATAATTTTGGCCTCCATTGTTTGTTCAGCTACATTTATATGGTTCTACTATCCTTTGTAGGAAGTCTATCCACCAGAAACTGTTGGAGCTGTATATTGAGGAAACAGGGGCTCAGCCTGATGACACAGTAAGCCACTTTTCAGTGACATACTTGTTCTCTAGGTGTTAACATACAAAGTACTTCATCATGTTCCAATATATCAAATGTAGGTCACCGTGACCTTTTTTTATTTTACTGATATTGGTTTGACTTTTGTTTAGCTCAGTTTCCATCAATAACAGAATGTGTGTGTATGTTTTACAAACGTTTTATGATTTACGTGTGCGACTTGGCCAGCAGCATCCCTGTAATGTATTGTTTTGTATTTATTTGTTAAATGAAAATTGAAAGTTTCAATGGATTTGTCAATACATTAATCAAAATTGATTTGCTTCCGGTTAAAGTATTTGAAAATTTGATGAATAGAAACACTTTTTACAAACAAATTTTTACATTGATGTAGACCGAGCTGTTCTCCTCGGACATGTATTGCGTGTCCTTGGTTTGATTACTTTGTTATGTACAATAAGGCCTTATGATAAAGTTTTGTATACTTCAGGATCTGGTCCGAGCCACCAACCTACTGCCCAAGCTTGTGAGACGTGATAGTCTGAACTGTCTGATACTGAAGCTTTACCCGGGAAATGAGGGCTACTCTCTGATGCTTAGAGGTCGCAGTGGTGTAGAGTCGGAGACTTTCAAGTTACCTTACGAGGTGAATAGCCGAGTCGCAGATTGTAGATTTATCTTCTTTAAGAGAGAGGCTGAAATTATAAGTTGGTAAAATTGCAGCAGTAGCAGATCACTTCCATGTGATTAAGAAGCGGTGTAGGGAATTTGTAAATAATACATAAAAACATTCCTATTGACATGCACAAGGCTTGCGAGCCATAAACACATTGTATAATCAGATACCTGTTAGGTAAATAAACACCAATTGCAAGATCTAAATCAAAAAGGTACTGATTTTGAAAAAATAAATAAAAATGTCATAGCTGCATTACTAGAATGTGATAATTTCTGTGTTGGCTAAATCAGAAATGAACACAAGCATAGAGTGTGGTACTTGTACCAGGTGTTTTATGCGTATGAGAACAAGTATGTGATGTAAATTTAGCACTTATTTTATGCAGTGGAATTTGAATTATATTCTATTGATAAAGGATAAAAAACTACATCTAACGTCTCGACATCAGTTTTGATCTGTTGGTATGTGAGTATCTACTGATCAATGAATACGTTTTGTGATAACATTAGTAATACCTGGGTGTATGTTTTGTGATAACATTAGTAATACCTGGGTGGACGTTTTGTGATAACATTAGTAACACCTGTGTGTACGTTTTGTGATAGCCTTAGTAATACCTGGGTGTACATTTTGTGATAACATAAGTAATACCTGGGAGTATGTTTTGTGATAACATTAGTAGTACCTGGGTGTACGTTTTGTGATAGCCTTAGTAATACCTGGGTGTACATTTTGTGATAACATAAGTAATACCTGGGCGTATGTTTTGTGATAACATTAGTAACACCTGTGTGTACGTTTTGTGATAACATTAGGAATACCTGGGTGTACGTTTTGTGATAGCCTTAGTAATACCTGGGTGTACATTTTGTGATAACATAAGTAATACCTGGGTGTATGTTTCGTGATAACATTAGTAATACCTGGGTGCACGTTTTGTGATAACATTAGTAATTCCTGGGTGTATGTTTTGTGATAACATTAGTAATACCTGCCTGGGGGTACGTTTTGTGATAACATTAGTAACACCTGTGTGTACGTTTTGTGATAACATTAGTAATACCTGGGTGTACGTTTTGTGATAACATTTGTAATACCTGGGTGTACGTTTTGTGATAACATTAGTAACACCTGGGTGTAGGTTTTGTGATAACATTAATAATACCTGGGTGTACGTTTTGTGATAACCTTAGTAATACCTGGGTGTACATTTTGTGATAACATAAGTAATACCTGGGTGTATGTTTTGTGATAACATTAGTAATACCTGGGTGTACGTTTTGTGATAACATTAGTAATACCTGGGTGTACGTTTTGTGATAACATAAGTAATACCTGGGTGTACGTTTTTTGATAACCTTAGTAATACCTGGGTGTACATTTTGTGATAACATTAGTAATACCTGGGTGTACGTTTTGTGATAACATTAGTAACACCTGGGTGTAGGTTTTGTGATAACATTAATAACACCTAGGTGTACGTTTTGTGATAACCTTAGTAATACCTGGGTGTATGTTTTGTGATAACCTTAGTAATACCTGGGTGTACGTTTGTGATAACATTAGTAATACCTGGGTGTACGTTTTGTGATAACCTTAGTAATACCTGGGTGTACATTTTAGGTATCAGAATTGCTGGAATACATTGATTCTTCAGAGGTAAGTAATTTAATGATTTATTTCAGTTAGTATTTTGTTGTTGTTGTAAAATACAGAAGGAAGACAGAACTATCAATGTAAATTAGTGTAAATGATGTATTTTTTGTAGATTTAAGTTACCTTTATAAGTAATACTACTTCTGTTTTGGTATCTTGATCAACCGTTTTAGCCTGAAGTTTTTTTATATGTGTATTAAGATTTGGAATAATCTTGTGTTTTGCCATGTATATGAAACATTATACATTGAGGGAAAGCGACACTTGATATCATGTGTATCATGTTTGTGTGTGGGAGTACCTAGCCATTATACATTGAGGGAAAGCAACACTTGATATCATGTGTATCATGTTTGTGTGTGGGAGTACCTAGCCATTATACATTGAGGGAAAGCGACACTTGATATCATGTGTATCATGTTTGTGTGTGGGAGTACCTAGCCATTATACATTGAGGGAAAGCGACACTTGATATCATGTGTATCATGTTTGTGTGTGGGAGTACCTAGCCATTATACATTGAGGGAAAGCGACACTTGATATCATGTGTATCATGTTTGTGTGTGGGAGTACCTAGCCATTATACATTGAGGGAAAGCGACACTTGATATCATGTGTATCATGTTTGTGTGTGGGAGTACCTAGCCATTATACATTGAGGGAAAGCGACACTTGATATCATGTGTATCATGTTTGTGTGTGGGAGTACCTAGCCATTATACATTGAGGGAAAGCGACACTTGATATCATGTGTATCATGTTTGTGTGTGGGAGTACCTAGCCATTATACATTGAGGGAAAGCGACACTTGATATCATGTGTATCATGTTTGTGTGTGGGAGTACCTAGCCATTATACATTGAGGGAAAGCGACACTTGATATCATGTGTATCATGTTTGTGTGTGGGAGTACCTAGCCATTATACATTGAGGGAAAGCGACACTTGATATCATGTGTATCATGTTTGTGTGTGGGAGTACCTAGCCATTATACATTGAGGGAAAGCGACACTTGATATCATGTGTATCATGTTTGTGTGTGGGAGTACCTAGCCATTATACATTGAGGGAAAGCGACACTTGATATCATGTGTATCATGTTTGTGTGTGGGAGTACCTAGCCATTATACATTGAGGGAAAGCGACACTTGATATCATGTGTATCATGTTTGTGTGTGGGAGTACCTAGCCATTATACATTGAGGGAAAGCGACACTTGATATCATGTGTATCATGTTTGTGTGTGGGAGTACCTAGCCATTATACATTGAGGGAAAGCGACACTTGATATCATGTGTATCATGTTTGTGTGTGGGAGTACCTAGCCATTATACATTGAGGGAAAGCGACACTTGATATCATGTGTATCATGTTTGTGTGTGGGAGTACCTAGCCATTATACATTGAGGGAAAGCGACACTTGATATCATGTGTATCATGTTTGTGTGTGGGAGTACCTAGCCATTATACATTGAGGGAAAGCGACACTTGATATCATGTGTATCATGTTTGTGTGTGGGAGTACCTAGCCATTATACATTGAGGGAAAGCGACACTTGATATCATGTGTATCATGTTTGTGTGTGGGAGTACCTAGCCATTATACATTGAGGGAAAGCGACACTTGATATCATGTGTATCATGTTTGTGTGTGGGAGTACCTAGCCATTATACATTGAGGGAAAGCGACACTTGATATCATGTGTATCATGTTTGTGTGTGGGAGTACCTAGCCATTATACATTGAGGGAAAGCGACACTTGATATCATGTGTATCATGTTTGTGTGTGGGAGTACCTAGCCATTATACATTGAGGGAAAGCGACACTTGATATCATGTGTATCATGTTTGTGTGTGGGAGTACCTAGCCATTATACATTGAGGGAAAGCGACACTTGATATCATGTGTATCATGTTTGTGTGTGGGAGTACCTAGCCATTATACATTGAGGGAAAGCGACACTTGATATCATGTGTATCATGTTTGTGTGTGGGAGTACCTAGCCATTATACATTGAGGGAAAGCGACACTTGATATCATGTGTATCATGTTTGTGTGTGGGAGTACCTAGCCATTATACATTGAGGGAAAGCGACACTTGATATCATGTGTATCATGTTTGTGTGTGGGAGTACCTAGCCATTATACATTGAGGGAAAGCGACACTTGATATCATGTGTATCATGTTTGTGTGTGGGAGTACCTAGCCATTATACATTGAGGGAAAGCGACACTTGATATCATGTGTATCATGTTTGTGTGTGGGAGTACCTAGCCATTATACATTGAGGGAAAGCGACACTTGATATCATGTGTATCATGTTTGTGTGTGGGAGTACCTAGCCATTATACATTGAGGGAAAGCGACACTTGATATCATGTGTATCATGTTTGTGTGTGGGAGTACCTAGCCATTATACATTGAGGGAAAGCGACACTTGATATCATGTGTATCATGTTTGTGTGTGGGAGTACCTAGCCATTATACATTGAGGGAAAGCGACACTTGATATCATGTGTATCATGTTTGTGTGTGGGAGTACCTAGCCATTATACATTGAGGGAAAGCGACACTTGATATCATGTGTATCATGTTTGTGTGTGGGAGTACCTAGCCATTATACATTGAGGGAAAGCGACACTTGATATCATGTGTATCATGTTTGTGTGTGGGAGTACCTAGCCATTATACATTGAGGGAAAGCGACACTTGATATCATGTGTATCATGTTTGTGTGTGGGAGTACCTAGCCATTATACATTGAGGGAAAGCGACACTTGATATCATGTGTATCATGTTTGTGTGTGGGAGTACCTAGCCATTATACATTGAGGGAAAGCGACACTTGATATCATGTGTATCATGTTTGTGTGTGGGAGTACCTAGCCATTATACATTGAGGGAAAGCGACACTTGATATCATGTGTATCATGTTTGTGTGTGGGAGTACCTAGCCATTATACATTGAGGGAAAGCGACACTTGATATCATGTGTATCATGTTTGTGTGTGGGAGTACCTAGCCATTATACATTGAGGGAAAGCGACACTTGATATCATGTGTATCATGTTTGTGTGTGGGAGTACCTAGCCATTATACATTGAGGGAAAGCGACACTTGATATCATGTGTATCATGTTTGTGTGTGGGAGTACCTAGCCATTATACATTGAGGGAAAGCGACACTTGATATCATGTGTATCATGTTTGTGTGTGGGAGTACCTAGCCATTATACATTGAGGGAAAGCGACACTTGATATCATGTGTATCATGTTTGTGTGTGGGAGTACCTAGCCATTATACATTGAGGGAAAGCGACACTTGATATCATGTGTATCATGTTTGTGTGTGGGAGTACCTAGCCATTATACATTGAGGGAAAGCGACACTTGATATCATGTGTATCATGTTTGTGTGTGGGAGTACCTAGCCATTATACATTGAGGGAAAGCGACACTTGATATCATGTGTATCATGTTTGTGTGTGGGAGTACCTAGCCATTATACATTGAGGGAAAGCGACACTTGATATCATGTGTATCATGTTTGTGTGTGGGAGTACCTAGCCATTATACATTGAGGGAAAGCAACACTTGATATCATGTGTATCATGTTTGTGTGTGGGAGTACCTAGCCATTATACATTGAGGGAAAGCGACACTTGATATCATGTGTATCATGTTTGGGTGTGGGAGTACCTAGCCATTATACATTGAGGGAAAGCGACACTTGATATCATGTTTGGGTGTGGGAGTACCTAGCCATTATACATTGAGGGAAAGCGACACTTGATATCATGTGTATCACGTTTGTGTGTGGGAGTACCTAGCCATTATACATTGAGGGAAAGCGACACTTGATATCATGTGTATCATGTTTGTTTGTGGGAGTACCTAGCCATTGATAGATAATGACAATCTAAATATCAAATGAATGTGACATTCTCCTGTATATTGTATACCCATACAACAGAGTTTGATCAATAATCAATGTTAAAATTCATGACTGAACTTTGAATTAATATATTTGTATTCATGAGCATACTTCTCCATTTGTCTGATATTTAGTTGTAGGTATTTGCTTATGCATAACTTTGTTTGGTGGAAAATAATCTCTTCTGCTTTCGTCTGTGTTTGGAATCTCAATTTATTTTTTTGCTGATGAAGCCTTCATTGACTTTTATTTATCATATTTCAGCTACCTCCATTTCTTGTTGACTTGTTGGAACGAGCTCAGGTAAGCTGTTACCTTTTGGAGTTTATATTATAATTGTCTATAGCAATCTTATGGATAACTTATCAGTGACGTTTAAATGTATGGTATTAAAAAGATAAAAAAATTGACGTGTGATATTGGGAATCTTTCAATTTCAATTGAGAGGTTAATACACTTAAGACTAGTTAGTATAATTGTTTTCATGTTACAGTATCAGGTCATTTGTTAAAGTCGAGTGTACACTGTACATCCCACTAGATTGCTTTTTTTCGACTTTAATGGTTGTTAAAGTGAAATGAATTTTGTGGTTTTGTTTATGTTATAATTTTTTCTGAAGCACTGACAGTAACTGAATTCTTAAAGTATCAAGTAAACGTTTCTGTATAAACCCACTAAATATATGTATAATCACCACTAAACAACCTGAACCATGGCATTCCCTCACCGCTGTCTGGTACTTTCTGTGTTGTTACAGGTGAATGTGTTCTATAGTGGCTGTGTAATTGTGGAGGTGAGAGATTACCGTAGATCTGCCAATGGTGGATATGACACACAGTATGTACTGCTCAAACCCTCCCAACAGGTAAGTTTAGACACAACACACGGTATGTACTGCTCAAAGCCTCAAACCCTCCCAACAGTTAAGTTTAGACACGATACACAGTATGTACTGCTCAAACCCTCAAAACAGGTAAGTTTAGACACGACACACAGTATGTACTGGTCAAAGCCTCCCAACAGGTAAGTTTAGACACGACACACAGTATGTACTGCTCAAAGCCTCAAACCCTCCCAACAGGTAAGTTTAGACACGACTCACAGTGTGTACTGCTCAAACCCTCCCAACAGGTAACTTTAGACACGACGCACAGTATGTACTGCTCAAACCCTCCCAACAGGTAAGTTTAGACACGACACACAGTATGTACTGGTCAAAGCCTCCCAACAGGTAAGTTTAGACACGACACACAGTCTGTACTGCTCAAACCCTCCCAACAGGTAAGTTTATACACAACACACGGTATGTACTGCTCAAAGCCTCAAACCCTCCCAACAGTTAAGTTTAGACACGATACACAGTATGTACTGCTCAAACCCTCAAAACAGGTAAGTTTAGACACGACACACAGTATGTACTGGTCAAAGCCTCCCAACAGGTAAGTTTAGACACGACACACAGTCTGTACTGCTCAAACCCTCCCAACAGGTAAGTTTAGACACAACACACGGTATGTACTGCTCAAACCCTCCCAACAGGTAAGTTTAGACACAACACACGGTATGTACTGCTCAAAGCCTCAAACCCTCCCAACAGGTAAGTTTAGACACGATACACAGTATGTACTGCTCAAACCCTCAAAACAGGTAAGTTTAGACACGACACACAGTATGTACTGCTCAATCCCTCCCAACAGGTAAGTTTAGACACAACACACGGTATGTACTGCTCAAACCCTCCCAACAGGTAAGTTTATACACAACACACGGTATGTACTGCTCAAAGCCTCAAACCCTCCCAACAGTTAAGTTTAGACACGATACACAGTATGTACTGCTCAAACCCTCACAACAGGTAAGTTTAGACACGCCACACAGTATGTACTGCTCAAACCCTCCCAACAGGTAAGTTTAGACACGACTCACAGTGTGTACTGCTCAAACCCTCCCAACAGGTATGTTTAGACACGACACACAGTGTGTACTGCTCAACCCCTCCCAACAGGTAAGTTTAGACACGACACACAGTCTGTACTGCTCAAACCCTCCCAACAGGTAAGTTTAGACACGACACACAGTATGTACTGCTCAAACCCTCCCAACAGGTATGTTTAGACACAACACACGGTATGTACTGCTCAAACCCTCCCAACAGGTAAGTTTAGTCTTTAGAATACCTTTTCAATTGTGTTGGGTGAAATTTTTCACTTCAGATGTGACATATTTAAATCTGGTATTCAGACAACTTTGACATATCAGCGGTAAATGGAAATTATACACCAAGCATTTTAAAAGGCTATAACACAAAAATTACTGAAACAAAATTTGGGTTTACTGTGTTAATTTAAAAAAAACAAGTTCATGATAACATTCCATTATCCATATATAGATACACTGTATAACTATAAGTACCACTTATAAGATGTAAAGAGTTCAAATGCCTGTATTATAAGTTCAATGTGTTTGATGTTCCCAGTCAGTTGATTTCTAGTCACTAATATTTAATCATAGGAGTTGGTGTTGTCTAGTTGTCCTTACTATTTATCACTTATGTTATTATTGAGTGTATTCTTTTGATTAAGTAACCATTATTAAGTGTATTATTTTGATTAAGTAACCATAAAATCCTATTATGGAAATATAAATTGTTTTAATTTATCATTTTACCTATATATCTATACATTCTTTGCCTTTTAGTCCTTGCTATCGGACATCTACAATCTGTCCAGTGATGGACATAGATGGACACCAGATGACCTATTGACCTTGGAAAGTCAGTTGATACTAGCGACAGAGGACCCTATCTGTTTGGACCCCTCCCCCTCAGTGTTACTGGTGGCTAATCGGCAACAGTATGATAAAAAGAAATTTAACACTCCCTTACTGAAAAGGTGATTATTTCCCTTTACCAGTCCCCTGTGTATTATATAGAGGATCTGTCATAAGTTTCCCTTCATATCAGATTTATGATAGTCGTTTTGGATTTTTCATGTTTGCAAGCCTCTGGTGAGCAAATATGAAAAAGCCAAAACGACTATCATAGATCAAATATGAAGGGAAACCTAAGACAGATTCTTTTTATCATTTAATACAAAGTAAACTGTATGAATGTCATCTGATACAAATATTTTGCACTTGGCCGCCTCTAAAATGATGAAAACTGTTTCTGCTTCACAATGACGTGACGTCACATTCATTTCAGAAGTGATACTAAACACATTACATTAACATAATTTATTTGATGGTTTTTTGAAACTGCATAACACAGTATTCATATGATAAAAATCTTTACTAGACAATATGTATTTCATCTCTTTGCTAGACAATAAGTATGCTGGTATATTCTTGTCCAGATAAATATTTGACCAAGAGTGAATTTCGCCTTTCACATGTTATTACTATATAGGATATGATGTGTCCTTATATTCACCATTATAATAAATTTGCCCTTATTTCAAAGGGCATTCTCATTACTTCAGGAGTTATGCTCACATACACTCTCTGTGCCCCTTGAGTATGTCGTGGCAAAACTTAATGCATGCTGATAGCTATTTGATTAATCCCAGGTAAAACAGCTGACCAGTCACTAGGCTGATACCTGTCCTTTGAAAATTACAAAGGAACAACACCCAACTTCAGAGTCGGTCAATTTTACCATTAGGCTGTCTCTGGATTCTTTTGATGTACATCAAAGGATAATCTAGTCTTCTTTTACTATCTATGAGGCGATGGACACTAAGCCTCTGATTTTGTCGTGACATATTCAAGGGGTGCAGAGAACATAAGTTAGCATAGCCACTGGAGTATTGAGGATGTTTGAAGGGTGAGACGGGCAACAGTTATACTGCAGCAAAATTTCCCATTACAATGTTTATCTTTAGACAATAGGTATTAAAAATGTCTTCACCGTAAAATTTTTATTTTATAACTTGTACATCTTATTACATTTCTCTACAGATCTGTAAAAAAATATACCCAAGCTGCCATCAACAGGAAGAGAAAGTTTGCTCAGGCCGCAGCACCCAAGGAGCTGAGACTGTTGGACTTCTTACAGAAAAAGAAGTCACGCACACATACTCCTAATGTCAACTTAAAAATAGGAAAACCGGTAACACCCTACATCATACGGAAATAAAGTCCTTGTTTGGTACCAAGTTGACTTTGTGGTATTAGAACATTGCCGTTTTAATTTGCCTCTGGGTAAAAGTAAATTGTACTGACCTACTAGAATTTAATGATTTGAAAAGTACATCCTCCACTCTTGTTGGCTAGTGGTTTTCCAATGAGATTTTCTTAAAGACAAATAAATATTGATCAAACTGCTCTGTAGAGCAATATGCCATTTAGATTGTTCATAAGGTTGGTTTGTTTCCTCGATAATTTGGAGATTGTTTTACAGCCAAACCTATGATAGGTTCTACGGTAGATTTCAGTGTAGATTAAACTTGTTAACCCGGGTAAATGTTGTTCCAAGTGTCTTAAGTTTGATTATGAACTAAGCAAAATGACAGGGACTGCCAAATAAAATGCTTGGTAGATTTTTAGACATACCTGTAATTTGTATACATACCTGTAATTTTTAAACTGCATTGAATTACCTTAGTTGTATAAAAATGTTCAAATAATATGTTGTGGTTTTCTTTGAAAACATTAACTCTCAAGCTCATTGAATGTGAAATTTGATTACAGAATTAAAGTTTATGTAAATCTGATCTTATATAAAGTGATTGTATGTATGCTGTACTTTTTGTAGCCGGTGGACATGTGGCAACAGAGACTTGTCCAGCTGTCTGTACCGGAGACTGTTGATGTAAGTATTACAAACATTTCCTCTCTGGATCACAGGTACTCTTTTATTTTGTTTTTGTTCCTGGTATATAATCATCAAATTGTACTAACATTACTAAAGAAGATTTTTGTGTTTGTGCTAAAGAAAGTTTAAAAAATGCTGCATACAAGATAATCTTTGCAGCAGTACTAGTGTTATCAATTAATAATAAAAACATTTTTTTTTTATTTTTTTTTTTAAAGTTTTCAGTATTAAATATCTTACAATAGTACTTTTCACACTCACTTGTTCATTCTTACTCCTTCATATCTTTAACCTTTTGCAAAAAATCTTGTTAACTTGACATAATCTGTATAAAATCTGTGTGGATTTTAACAGGTGGAGAAGTACGCTACGGCCCAGGAACCTCCTGAAATGACCCCCAATAATGTCCTGGTAAGTCTCCTAATGGATTAGTTTGAATCTGGGAAGGAGGGAAGGATTCAGTTTTAGACTGAGTTCAACCTTCAAGTAAGCTTTATAACACAGCCACAATTCGTCCTGTACAATTTCGTCATTCTAAAGTGGTTTGTCAATATAACAACTATTGGGAGGGACATATGATGAAATTGTTCAGCAATGAGGAAATGGGGCCTTGAGATTATGTTGTTGATGAAGTTTGCAGCCAATGAAACAATAGGCATTACTGTATATAAATAGTATACAATGGGTAAATGTAATAATGGTATTAAGTAAGGATGGATTTTAAAGTGGCTACAGCTAGCTGACAGGGTTGGAATGGAAGACAACAGGTCAAACACACAAAATATCAACAATCCTGATAGAAAATGAATTTAGCAGAGCTTAAGTTTGATAGTTTTGAAGTTCAATATCTAGACTGCTTCAATTTCAATTTCTTAAGTGAAAAAAATAAATAAAAAAAATTGCCAATATTTCTGTCTTGTATTAACTTGTGTTCTGATTCTCACCAACATCGATAGCTCCTTATGGAAAACTGTTCCTCAAGTACATGTATTACATGTACCAAGGTTCCACTACCCCATATTCACATTGCTATATAATTATAAGTGTGAAAGAGGTCCTGAAATGTTAAACTCTACAGCTTTGCTGTTTATTTCTCCTATGATGTTTATTTAATCAATAGACATTCTTACTGATAAATGTTCACTTTTAAATGTAACAGAAATAGTTATATGAAGAAAGATTCATAAGGACATTGTACTTCTTTACTGAGAGTATCATAAGTTGACATTATTTGAGGCTAATTTTATCCAGTGCAAGTTGTTTCATTCAGAGTTGTTATGTGACTCTGTTTTTTAAGTATTTGACAGGGAAACTCTTTAATATACATTGTTCTGGATTTATTTCTCATGCACAAGTGAAGTGGCAGAAGTTCAAAAAAAAAAATGCCCCGCTATTGAACAATATTTCTACAATATCTGTATGTGTATAATCACAGGAATTGGTTGAAGAGACCACACTGGAGCGAGACATCAACACAGAGAAAAAACTACTGGCTCGACTGAGTATAAGGAAACGGAAGTCTGATGATATGTACTTTGGTACTCTGTATCTGGACCACGACTACAAGGAGAACTCGCGAGGAAAGACTTGCACGTATGTAGTCAGGTATAGGGTGTACAACATAAAATAGACCACTCGGACTGAAGTTTGATATTTACTACAAGGTCTATAACTTGCAGTTTTTGAAAAAAATAAAATGTGTGAGATAACAGCATATTGCTATAAATGGTATTTTAGGATTGTTGTGTAAACAATACAACCTCAAAGTGCTTTGTTTGCTGAATATAACCATTGATTCTCATATACCTGTTGTTAATTCTTTTATCCTCTTATATTTCAGGTTTAACTTGAGAACAAAAAGTGTTGTTGACAAGTAAGTATAAATATATACAGAACAACATTCAGCTTGATACATTGCACACATTGAACGATATTACTATCTTAATTCCACACTTTGACTTCAAGTATACTTCTCCTCCTATCAATGAAAGCTACTTCCCAAGTATCCCTGAGATTATCTGTGGTCAGTAAGCCACTTAGGACAGAGTCTGACGATGAAAGCTATTTCCTCAGCATCCTTGAGATTATCTCTGGTCAGTAAGTCACTTAGGACAGAGTCTGACGATGAAAGCTACTTCCCAAGCATCCTTGAGATTATGTTGGTCAGTAAGTCACTTAGGACAGAGTAATGGAAGAATGTCTAAGTTGCTTTAGATCATCAATAAGTACTTCATTATTACTGTAGGTACTTGCAGCAGTTTAAGGAGATCTTCACTGAGGAGGGACGGCGTGCAGTAAAGATAACAACTCAGAAACCAGGCCACGCCCCCCACATAGAATACACCCAGACCACGCTGACCACCTCCACTCCTGGTATCACAATCACTGCTGCGCAGGCTCTCATGAGTCGCCAAGCTGTCACGGCAACTCTCACTACTGCCCAGGTAAGTCACCACAACTCTCACAACTGCACAGGTAAGTCACCACAACTCTCACAACTGCCCAGGTAAGTCACCCCACCTCTCCCTCCTGTACAGGTAAGTCACCACAACTCTCACAACTGCCCGGGTAAGTCACCACAACTCTCACTACTGCCAAGGTAAGTCACCACAACTCTCACAACTGCACAGGTAAGTCACCACAACTCTCACTACTGGACAGGTAAGTCACCACAACTCTCACAACTGCCCAGGTAAGTCCCCACAACTCTCACAACTGCCCAGGTAAGTCACCCCAACTCTCACAACTGCCCAGGTAAGTCACCACAACTCTCACTACTGTACAGGTAAGTCACCACAACCCTCACTACTGTACAGATAAGTCACCACAACTCTCACTACTGCCCAGGTAAGTCACCACAACCCTCACTACTGCCAAGGCAAGTCACCACAACTCTCACTACTGCCCAAGTAAGTCACCACAACTCTCACTACTGTACACGTAAGTCACCACAACTCTCACTACTGCACAGGTAAGTCACCACAACTCTCACAACTGCACAGGTAAGTCACCACAACTCTCACTACTTTACAGGTAAGTCACCACAACCCTCACTACGGTACAGATAAGTCACCACAACTCTCACTACTGCCCAGGTAAGTCACCACAACTCTCACTACTGCCCAGGTAAGTCACCAAAACTCTCACTACTGCCCAGGTAAGTCACCAAAACTCTCACAACCGCAGAGGCTAGTCACCACAACTCTAACTACTGCCCAGGTAAGTCACCACAACTCTCACTACGGCCCAGGTAAGTCACCACAACTCTCACTACGGCCCAGGTAAGTCACCACAACTCTCACTACTGGACAGGGAAGTCACCACAACTCTCACTACTGTACAGGGAAGTCACCACAACTCTCACTACTGTACAGATAAGTCACCACAACTCTCACTACTGCCCAGGGAAGTCACCACAACTCTCACTACTGTACAGATAAGTCACCACAACTCTCACTACTGGACAGGGAAGTCACCACAACTCTCACTACTGTACAGGGAAGTCACCACAACTCTCACTACTGTACAGGGAAGTCACCACAACTCTCACTACTGTACAGATAAGTCACCACAACTCTCACTACTGCACAGGTAAGTCCCCACAACTCTCACTACTGCCCAGGTAAGTCACCACAACTCTCACTACTGTACAGGTAAGTCACCAAAACTCTCACTACTGCCCAGGTAAGTCACCATAACTCTTACTACTGCCCAGGTAAGTCACCATAACTCTCACTACTGCCCAGGTAAGTCACCACAACTCTCACTACTGCCCAGGTAAGTCACCATAACTCACCATGACAAAGGTACACCACCACAACTCTCACCATTACAATGATTCTCAAACAACTCTACAAACCTTACCATTGCCCATGTATGTCATGACAAGTAAAAGATCCCTAACATATTAGAAAGATCTATTATAAAAAAGAAAAAGAGAGAAATATTTTCAGAATCGGGGAACATAACAACCAGTAACTCAACAGTAAACAAACATGATAGAGAGCGATCGGTTGAAGCTGGTTTGTAAATAAATTATTATTTATACAAAAAGAAATTTGTTTGAAAGGCAAGATAGTAGGACAACCTGACAACCTGAACTAGCAGGGTGTAACTGTACCGGGTTTTACTATTGCTATAGCAACATATCCACACTGTATGATCGGAATGTTTACTTTTGTCTGTGATAGCCTGACCCACAGAGTGGAACCACAGCTGCTGGACTACTGGCTGGCAAGAGGAATGTCCCCATACAGCTCTCACTCACCATAGCTCCAGCAGGTACGTCCCCATACAGCTCTCACTCACTATAGCTCCAGCAGGATGTCCCCATACAGCTCTCACTCACCCTAGCTCAAGCAGGTATGTCCCCATACAGCTCTCTCTCACCATAGCTCCAGCAAGTATGTCCCCATACAGCTCTCACTTCCCCTAGCTCCAGCAGGTACGTCCCCTTACAGCTCTCACTCACCCTAGCTCCAGCAGGTACATACCCATACAGCTCTCACTCACCATAGCTCCAGCAGGTACATACCCATACAGCTCTCACTCACTATAGCTCCAGCAGGTACGTCCCCGTACAGCTCTCACTCACTATAGCTCCAGCAGGTATGTCCCCATACAGCTCTCACTCACCATAGCTCCAGCAAGTATGTCCCCATACAGCTCTCACTTACCCTAGCTCCAGCAGGTACGTCCCCATACAGCTCTCACTCACCCTAGCTCAAGCAGGTATGTCCCCATACAGCTCTCACTCACCATAACTTCAGCAGGTACATCCCCATACAGCTCCCACTCACCATAGCTCCAGCAGGTATGTCCCCATACAGCTCTCACTTACCCTAGCTCCAGCAGGTACGTCTCCATACAGCTCTCACTCACCCTAGCTCCAGCAGGTACATACCCATACAGCTTTCACTCACCATAGCTCCAGCAGGTACGTCCCCATACAGATCTCACTCACCCTAGCTCCAGCAGGTACGTCCCCATACAGATCTCACTCACCCTAGCTCCAGCAGGTACGTCCCTATACAGCTCTCACTCACCCTAGCTCCAGCAGGAACGTCCCCATACAGCTCTCACTCACCCTAGCTCCAGTAGGTACGTCCCCATACAGCTCTCACTCACTATTGCTCCAGCAGGTACATCCCCATACAGCTCTCGCTCACCCTAGCTCCAGCAGGCATGTCCCCATACAGCTCTCACTCACCCTAGCTCCAGTAGGTACGTCCCCATACAGCTCTCACTCACCATAGCTCCAGCAGGTACATCCCCATACAGCTCTCACTCACCCTAGCTCCAGCAGGCATGTCCCCATACAGCTCTTACTCACCCTAGCTCCAGCAGGTATGTCCCCATACAGCTCTCACTCACCATAGCTCCAGCAGGAAACTTATTTATTAAGGCTGGTCCAACATTTTTACGATACTGTTCCTCACTTATATTTTGCACAGTATGAAATTAAAGATAATGCGTGAAGGCATTCACAATTTTAAATATCATGATGTGAATATTTTTACTTTTAATATAATTTGTTTGTGCTGTCATCATAATTATTAAAAATGGTTCCCTGATGGATGTCGTGTGTTATTGATCCTTTACAAAATTAAACACTGACTTATTTTAGCTTCTATTTACTGTGATATACCGCATCAGCTCTTGGAGAACCTGGTCTTCCATCATGATGTATTGATACACTGGAGGTGACAAAGCAAGAGACCGTTTATCAGATGATTGTCAGAAAACTTTAAAACAGAAATTTTGACACAACTGTTTTTCCTTTCAGCCCCGGGAAGCACTTCACAAGCACCCAATCAGCTGCAGCTTAACATACAGAAACAGCCAACAAGTCACCAATCACAGACGCTGTCTCGTACCAAACTAGGCCACCATGGAATTGGACAAAGGTGAATTGATACAGATATGTTTTACAGATGGTGGTGATGTATAGGTTTAAGGTGACGGTGAAAAGATGGTAGACTGCTAGTAATTTTGTCAGTGTGATTGTTGTTTCGACTCCACAATCTTTTTGACAATTTTGATTTTACATTTGAATGTTCAGATCACAATTTTTTGTATTGGCAGATATTCATCTGTAACCTATACCATGTATTCTGTATTTCCATTTGTAATAAATAACCTTTTCTAGACCTATAACCAAATTAAGAGCCACACATATCTTTACTTGAATATCAACTTTTAACTATTACAGGTCTATACCCAACACGCCAGATCAGAGTCCAGCGTCAACACCCACATCTACAGGTAAAACATCATGTTGTCCAGCATCAACACCCACATCTACAGGTAAAACATCATGTTGATCATTGAACTGTGATGTCAGCTCATCTGTCTGAAGGGCTAGTGAGGGGATATCATGGCACAACAAGATTATGGTCCAAAACAAGCAATGGGTTGAACAAAACTTAGTATGGAACCTCACAGGGCCCGGTTACTCAGCATTTATACAGGAAGGATGGAGCCCTCAAACTTAGTACGGAACCTCACAGGGCCCGGTTACTCAGCATTTATACAGGAAGGATGGAGCCCCCAAACTTAGTATGGAACCTCACAGGGCCCGGTTACTCAGCATTTATACAGGAAGGTTGGAGGCCTCAAACTTAGTATGGAACCTCACAGGGCCCGGTTACTCAGCATTTATACAGGAAGGATGGAGCCCTCAAACTTAGTACGGAACCTCACAGGGCCCGGTTACTCAGCATTTATACATGAAAGTGCAGCTCTCAAACTTAGTATGGAACCTCACAGGGCCAGGTTACTCAGCATTTATACAGGAAGGATGGAGCCCCCAAACTTAGTATGGAACCTCACAGGGCCCGGTTACTCAGCATTTATACATGAAGGTGGAGCTCTCAAACTTAGTATGGAACCTCACAGGGCCCGGTTACTCAGCATTTATACATGAAGGTGGAGCCCTCAAACTTAGTATGGAACCTCACAGGGCCATGTTACTCAGCATTTATACATGAAAGTGGAGCCCTCAAACTTAGTATGGAACCTCACAGGGCCATGTTACTCAGCATTTATACATGAAAGTGGAGCCCTCAAACTTAGTATTGAACCTCACAGGGCCAGGTTACTCAGCATTTATCCAGGAAGGATGGAGCCCTCAAACTTAGTATGGAACCTCACAAGGCCCGGTTACTCAGCATTTATACATGAAGGTGGAGCTCTCAAACTTAGTATGGAACCTCACAGGGCCAGGTTACTCAGCATTTATACATGAAGGTAGAGCCCTCAAACTTAGTATGGAACCTCACAGGGCCAGGTTACTCAGCATTTATACATGAAAGTGGAGCCCTCCAACTTAGTATGGAACCTCACAGGGCCAGGTTACTCAGCATTTATACAGGAAGGATGGAGCCCTCAAACTTAGGATGGAACCTCACAGGGCCAGGTTACTCAGCATTTATACAGGAAAGATGGAGCCCTCAAGCTTAGTATGGAACCTCACAGGGCCCGGTTACACAGCATTGATACTTGAAAGTGGAGCCCTCAAACTTAGTATGGAACGTCACAGGGCCAGGTTACTCAGCATTTATACATGAAGGTGGAGCCCTCATTGGAGGGGGGGGGGGGGGGCATATAATTGAGATGCATTATGAGAAATTCGGTTCAATTCTTAAAAGCCTATTTCTTAAGTACATGTGAAGAGATTTGGAACATGGACTTAACATCAAATTAAATATAGAATTGACTAAAGTAATATTGCTTGTGTTTGCAGGTCAAGGTCAGCTGTTTCCCCAGGGTCCGACTTCTGTGACCTCAGTTCACAGTGTGAAGACTCCGATCCCCACCCCAACACCCCCACCCAACACCACACTCACTAACCTGAATCTGCAAGGCAGAAAGCCAGGGATAGACAACTCCAACATCACTCAGATCCAACAAAGCCTCCAACAGGCCGGCAACATCACATTTGTACAAAGTAAGTCTTTCATTATACATTATACAATGCAAATTCAGTGGCTTGCCCTCACCAGAAATTCTACATTAATTTTTTATGGCATTATGATAATGTTATATAGGTCATTAAACCCTTATCAAATGTGTTTAAAAAAAAAGGGAAAATATTTAACGTTTTATGATTTGAGATTAATTAAAAAATTGTTTATCGCAAGCTATATATCATCAACTGTGTTTATCATGTAATTAAATATGACAATTTTGACAGGACGTATTTTGATATGACACTGTCTGTCCGTTCATCAGTTGATGATGTCTGGAACATACTTTTTACCATTGAAAACATTTTTATTACATTTCATACACATACAAGCCATCAGTAAGGAGTGTGCCATTGGTCCTTTTTTGGAACTCATTGGAGATTCTGTTTCAAAAATTATGGTAATGAAGATCCTGTATAAAAATGAAAGTGTGTCGAAGTAAAATATGTATGAATAAATTTACTTTGCTTTTATTTTAGCTACAGAGGGCAACACCGGTCAGGCAACACTAAACCAACAACCAATCACAAACATTAATATAGCCAACATCGGCCTGCCGTCCAACCTCCTCCAGAATCTAACAGGTTTACAAGGCATGAATATTACCAACCTTCAGGGTTTACAGAACATGCAGGTATCGCTGTCTGTCCCGGGAGGAGGGAGCATCCCTGTCCCACTCAGCCTTATTAATACAAACGCTGGTGTGATCCAGAACCACACTGGTATCTTTGTCAGCTCACTGCCCAGCGGCATTGTGTCATCATCGACAAGCACATCATCTCCCATAGTATCGTCAGCATCCCTTGCCCAGGTAAGTCAGATAGAGCAAGGACATACCTGTATCTGCTTTATAAACAGTGTATAGGGCTGTTATAGCAGATATTTAGTGAACAGTTCTCTTGGTTCTGAAAAGTGGATAACTAGGTAAATGTATTCCCATTTTCACTAATTATCCATCATGGGGACATCTGTCATATTCTAACATTATTGTTACATTCAGTTGCTATTTATGGGGAATGGATTACATTGACAAGTCTAAGAATCAAATTACAATTAACCATCAGTATAAAACAGCATTAGATATGTATGTGTGACATAGGATGTGTGAGTGGTGGAGAAATCCGAGGAATGATATGGAACGTCAATAGGAAAACAAAGATTTTGATTTGATCGGTGAACAGATTAAGTACAATTTTAATTATGATGAAATTATGATAATTTTGATAACCTGATGTACACTTGTGCTTTATCAGACATCCTCATCAGGTGCTAGTGTTCCAACCATGGTTACCATGGTAACCGCCATATCTTCAGTGACTCACCATGGCTCCACTACAAACACAACAACAGTAGCATCTAGTGGTGGTCGGACATCAGGTATGTGCTCATATACCAAAGTCTACTTTTATCTCCCCAGTGCAACTCTTCATCACTGTCCTGCATATATAATTAAACAGTTTTTGAAAAAGATTGATTACAAGTTTTTTACATTTCCTATGACCATTCCATAGAAGTCAAAAAAGTATGTTTAAGGTACTGATCTTTTATACTTACAACAAATATAAAATCCTTCTCCATTGATACCTTGCATTACTCCACTGGTTTGGTTTGAAATGTTTTGGAAAGCAAAGAAAGTTTTCTGAGTGAAATACAGGTAGTCCTAAAATTTTAGCTGTATTTGCTTTTATAGAATGAGTAAATGTGTTTGTTGTAGGAATCGCTAATAACCCAGCATCAGTGCTGCCCCCTGCTGGCATGCTGTCACTCCCTCTGGGTTCCATTGGTCTGGGTCCCTTCATGTCTGGGATCAAACAGCAGGCAGGGAGCAATATTAGGGCACCAACCACACTTCCCCTCCTACAGGTAGGTCTAACACAACCAGCAACTGCAAAGCTGTTAAGAAAAGCTGTATAAAACAATGCTCAATCAATAAAGAAGTTGAAAATACCATTATATTTAGGAACATACTGGTATTTACAAGGTTTATAGGAACTTATTTCTAATTTTATAATTGGAAGCAAATATTGCAATGGTAGAACTATAGCATGACTTGAGTTTGGTTCCTCAATTTGGCACACTGAGCAGAGTTTGGTACACTGAGCAGAGTGTCGTACACTGAGCAGAGTTTGGTACACTGAGCAGAGTTTGGTACACTGAGCAGTGTTTGGTACACTGAGCAGTGTTTGGTACACTAAACAGTGTTTGGTACACTGAACAGTTTGGTACACTGATCAGAGTTTGTTACACTGAGCACAGTTTGGTACAATGAGCACAGTTTGGTACACTGAGCAGTGTTTGGTGGTACACTAAACAGTGTTTGGTACACTGAACAGTTTGGTACACTGATCAGAGTTTGTTACACTGATCAGAGTTTGTTACACTGAGCAGAGTTTGGTACACTGATCAGAGTTTGTTACACTGATCAGAGTTTGTTACACTGAGCAGAGTTTGGTACACTGAGCACAGTCTGATAGACTGAGCACAGTTTGTTACACTGAGCACAGTTTGGTACACTGAGCACAGTTTGGTACACTGAGCAGTGTTTGGTACACTGAGCAGAGTTTGGTACACTGAGCAGTGTTTGGTACACTGAGCAGAGTTTGGTACACTGAGCACAGTTTGATAGACTGAGCACAGTTTGTTACACTGAGCACAGTTTAGTACACTCAGCAGTGTTTGGTACACTGATCAGAGTTTGTTACACTAATCAGAGTTTGTTACACTGAGAACAGTTTGGTAGACTGTACCAAACTGTGCTCAGTGTCACAAACTCTGATTAGTGTAACAAACTCTGATCAGCGTACCAAACTGTGCTCAGTGTCACAAACTCTGATTAGTGTAACAAACTCTGATCAGCGTACCAAACACTGCTCAGTGTAGTACCAAACACTGCTCAGTGTACTAAACTGTGCTCAGTGTACCAAACGCTGCTCAGTGTACCAAACTCTGCTCAGTGTACCAAACACTGCTCAGTATACCAAACTGTGCTAGGTGTACCAAACTCTGATCAGTGTACCAACCTCTTATCAGTGTACCAAACTCTGCTCAGTGGACCAAACTCTGATCAGAGTTTGTTACATTGAGCACAGTTTGGTACACTGAGCCCAGTTTGATAGACTGAGCACATTTTGTTACACTGAGCACAGTTCGGTACACTGAGCACAGTTTGATATACTGAGCACAGTTTGTTACACTCAGCACTGTTTGGTACACTGAGCACAGTATGTTAGACTGAGCAGAGTTTGTTACACTGAGCAAAGTTTGGTACACTGATCAGAGTGTGTTACACTGAGCACAGTTTGGGATAAGAGTTTGGTACACTGATCAGAGGTTGTTACACTGAGAACAGTTTGGTAGACTGTACCAAACTGTGCTCAGTGTACCAACCAGTGCTCAGTGTAACAAACTCTTATCAGTGTACCAGTGTAACAAACTCTGATCATTATACCAAACTCTGCTCAGTGTACCAAACACTGCTCAGTGTACCAAACACTGCTCAGTATACCAAACTGTGCACGGTGTACCAAACTCTGATCAGTGTACCACACTTTGCTAAGTGTAACAAACTGTGATCAGTGTACCAACCTTTGCTAAGTGTAACAAACTCTTATCAGTGTACCAATCTGTGCTCAATGTAACAAACTGTGCTCAGTTTAACAAACACCAAACTGTGCTCGGTGTACCAAACTCTTATCAGTGTCCCAAACACTGCTCAGTGTACCAAACACTGCTCAGTGTACTAAACTGTGCTCAGTGTACCAATCTGTGCTCAGTGTAACAAACTTTGCTCAGTCTATCAAACTGTGCTCAGTGTACCTGTGCTCAGTGTACCAAACAGGGCTCAGTGTAACAAACTGTGCTCAGTATATCAAACTGTGCTCAGTGTAGCAAACTCTGCTCAGTGTACCAAACTCTGATCAGTGTAACAAGCTCTGATCAGTGTACCAAACACTGCTCAGTATACCAAACTGTGCACGGTGTACCAAACTCTGATCAGTGTACCAACCTCTTATCAGTGTACCAAACTGTGCTCGGTGTACCAGACAGTGCTCAGTGTAACAAACTGTGCTAAGTGTAACAAATTCTGATCAGTGTAACAAACTCTTATCAGTGTACCAATCTGTGCTCAATGTAACAAACTCTGATCAGAGTTTGGTACACTCAGCACAGTTTGGTACACTGAGCCCAGTTTGATAGACTGAGCACAGGTTGTTACACTGAGCACAGTTTTTTATTCTGAGCACAGTTTGTTACACTCAGCACTGTTTGGTACACTGAGCACAGGTACACTGAGCACAGTTTGATATACTGAGCACAGTTTGTTACACGGAGCGCTGTTTTGTACACTGAGCTCAGTTTGGTACACTGATCAGAGGTTGTTACACTGAGAACAGTTTGGTACACTGAGCAATGTTTGGTACACTGATCAGAGGTTGTTACACTGAGAACAGTTTGGTACACTGAGCAGAGATTGGGACACTGAGCACAGTTTGATAGACTGAGCAAAGTTTGTTACACTGAGCACAGATTGGTACACTGATAAGAGTTTGGTACACCGAGCACAGTTTGATAGACTGAGCAAAGTTTGTTACACTGAGCACAGATTGGTACACTGATAAGAGTTTGGTATACTGATCAGAGTTTGTTACACTGATCAGAATTTGTTACACTTAGCACAGTTTGTTACACTGAGCCCTGTTTGGTACACTGAGCACAGGTACACTGAGCACAGTTTGATAGACTGAGCAAAGTTTGTTACACTGAGCACAGATTGGTACACTGAGCACAGTTTTATAGACTGAGCACAGTTTGTTACACTCAGCACTGTTTGGTACACTGAGCACAGGTACACTGAGCACAGTTTGATAGACTGAGCACAGGTTGTTACACTGAGCACAGTTTCGTACACTCAGCAGTGTTTGGTACACTGATAAGAATTTGGTACACTGATCAGAGTTTTTTACTCTTAGCAAAGTTTGGTACACTGATCAGAGTTTGTTACACTTAGCAAAGTTTGGTACACTGATCACAGTTTGTTACACTGAGCACAGTTTGGTACAATGAGCACAGTTTGTTAGACTGAGCACAGTTTGTTACACTGAGCACTGTTTGGTACACTGAGCACAGTTTGGTACACTGATCAGAGGTTGTTACACTGAGAACAGTTTGGTACACTGAGCGGTGTTTGGTACACTGATCAGAGTTTGTTACACTGAGCACAGTTTGTTACGTTGAGCACAGTTTGGTACACTGAGCAGTGTTTGGTCCACTGATAAGAGTTTGGTACACCGAGCACAGTTTGGTATACTGAGCAGTGTTTGTTACACTGAGCACAGTTTGGTACACTGAGCACAGTTTGGTACACTGAGCAGTGTTTGGTACACTGATAAGAGTTTGGTACACTGATCAGAGTTTGTTACACTTAGCAAAGTTTGGTACACTGATCAGAGTTTGTTACACTGATCAGAGTTTGGTACACTGAGCACAGTTTGGTACACTGAGCAGTGTTTGGTACACTGATCAGAGTTTGTTACACTGAGCACAGTTTGTTACATTGAGCACAGTTTGGTACACTGATAAGAGTTTGTTACACTGATCAGAGTTTGTTACACTGACCACAGTTTGGTACAATGAGCACAGTTTGGTACACTGAGCACAGTTTGATACACTGAGCAGTGTTTGGTACACTGATAAGAGTTTGGTACAGTGATCAGAGTTTGTTACACTTAGCAAAGTTTGGGACACTGATCAGAGTTTGTTACACTGAGCACAGTTTGGTACACTGAGCAGTGTTTGGTCCACTGAGCACAGTTTGGTACACTGAGCACAGTTTGTTAGACTGAGCTCAGTTTGTTACACTGAGCACTGTTTGGTACACTGAGCACAGTTTGGTACACTGATCAGAGTTTGTTACACTGATCAGAATTTGTTACACTGAGCACAGTTTGTTACACTGAGCACTGTTTGGTACACTGAGCACAGTTTTGTACATTGATCAGAGTTTGTTACACTGAGCACAGTTTGGTACACTGAGCAGTGTTTGGTACACTGAGCACAGTTTGGTACACTGAGCACAGTTTGTTACATTGAGCAAAGTTTGGTACACTGATCAGAGTTTGTTACACTGATCAGCATTTGTTACACTTAGCACAGTTTGTTACACTGAGCACTGTTTGGTACACTGGGCACAGTTTGGTACACTGATCAGAGTTTGTTACACTGATCAGCATTTGTTACACTTAGCACAGTTTGTTACACTGAGCATTGTTTGGTACACTGAGCACAGTTTGGTACACTAATCACAGTTTGTTACACTTAGCAAAGTTTGGTACACTAATCACAGTTTGTTACACTTAGCAAAGTTTGGTACACTAATCACAGTTTGTTACACTTAGCAAAGTTTGGTACACTAATCACAGTTTGTTACACTTAGCAAAGTTTGGTACACTAATCACAGTTTGTTACACTTAGCAAAGTTTGGTACACTAATCACAGTTTGTTACACTTAGCAAAGTTTGGTACACTAATCACAGTTTGTTACACTTAGCAAAGTTTGGTACACTAATCACAGTTTGTTACACTTAGCAAAGTTTGGTACACTGATCAGAGTTTGTTACACGGATCAGAGTTTGTTACACTGAGCACAGTTTGGTACACTGAGTACAGTTTGTGAGACTGAGCACAGTTTGTTACACTGAGCACAGTTTGGTACACTGATCAGAGTTTGTTACACTCATCAGAGTTTCTTACACTGAGCACAGTTTGTTACACTGAGCACAGTTTGGTACAGACCACAGTTTGGTACAATGAGCACAGTTTGGTACACTGATCAGAGTTTGGTACAATGAGCACAGTTTGGTACA